TCAGCCAGTTCGTTCAGGACTGACACAGTTCATTCAGGAATGTCACAGTTCGTTCAGAGTTCAGCCAGTTCGTTCAGGACTGACACAGTTAGCTCGGACTTCAGCCAGTTCGTTCAGGACTGACACAGTTCGCTCAGACTTCAGCCAGTTCGTTCAGGACTGACACAGTTCATTCAGGACTGTCACAGACAGGCGTCCATCTGGCTCAAGACTTCTGCAGGGGCTTCAGACCCAAACTCTTGCACAAGTCGAGGAACTGCTGCTTTTTGCCCATTGCCTGACCTTTAAGGCAGCGAGCAGTGGCTTTTCAGTAAACCATACCGCAGAGAGAGAGAGAGAGAGAGTCAGACTGGGAGAGTGCCAGGGATCACGGATCACGCACAATACCAACGCCCTCTTAGCAAACTGAAGCGTGACTTGGGCAAAGAGCAGCATCCGGGTCCTCCCACGCTGGTCTCTCTCTCCAGCCCGCAGGGAGCAGATGATCGAGCCTGTTCTTGTGGGCCCGTCCCGTCTTTAACAGCTGAACGGGCCGATCCAGGACCCAAGGTCCCAAGGCCTCCGCTGGAGCCCGAATCTGTGCCTGTGACCGAAGGAGAAGAGCATGCTGGGAGAGGCCCCGATGCTGCCCTGCGCGGCGATGCTTTGCAAACAGGCTGACGCAAAAACTGATACCTGCCTCTCTCTCTCTCTCTCTCTCTCCCCCCCCCTGCCCTTCCTCTGCGGCTCCTGTTCTGCAGGCCGGCAGCTGACCATCTTCAACAGCCAGGCGTCCATCAAGATCGGGGGGCGCGACAGGGGGCGGCCCTTCCAGGGCCAGATCTCGGGCCTCTATTACAACGGGCTGCAGGTGCTGAAGCTGGCGGCCGAGGGGGACCCCAACGTGCAGGCGGAGGGGAACCTGCGGCTGGTGGGGGACGTGCCCTCCGTCCTGACCACCGAGACCACCTCCACCACCCCCCTGGCCGACATGTCCACCACCATCATGGAGACCACCACCACCATGGCCACCACCACGACCCGCAAGCAGCGCTCGCCCACCATGAGGGACAGCGTCACGCAGGTGAGGGGGGGTGGGGGGTGGTCTGGCCCATGGGGTTGCTCACGGCCCACGATCACGCCGCAGCCCAGCCTGGGTCCTGTGTGTTCCGTTTGTTCCATGCTCCCACAGCCCTTTGTGTAAAGAAGCACCTCCTGTTCTCGGTTTTACAGGCCCGTCTACTTAGGTGTGTCCTCTGTGGGGTGTCCCTGGTCTGGCCCTTTTATTTTTGATTGTCTACAAGAGTTGGGGGTTTGAAAACCCACTTCAGGGGCCGTCTGTGACCAGAGCTGCCGAGAGCTGGTTTCTCTAACCTGCCAGAATTCAATTCAGTTCACAGAATCGTTTATTCATCCCCAGGGGTTGCAATGTAACCAGCAGGTGCTGCAACCTCCAGCAGGTTCCAAATAAAACGACATCACTGAGAAAAAAAGACATAACTGAAAGCCGCCAGTGGGCTCGAGAAATGATTCTGGAGGCTGGAGCGAACGAAAACGAAGGTATTGAAGTAGGTGCACTTGAGCAGATTAATCTGCACGCACACGCGGGTATTGAAGTCCATGCACAGAGGGGGCTCTGTTCAATTGAACTCGTAATCATAAAACGTCTTCACACTCCTCGTTGGCCAGCCTGATTCTGGAACAAAGCTCGATTTCCTCCTATTGGTGTCGCAGTGTGGAAGCTGTGGTCACTGTGGACGCTGTGGACGCTGTGGATGTTGTGGACGCTGTGGATGCTATGGATGTTGTGGACGCTATGAATGTTGTGGACGCTGTGGACGCCATGGATGCTATGGATTTGGTGGACGCTCTGGAAGTTCTGGACGCTGTGGACGCCATGGATGCTATGGATGTTGTGGACACTGTGGATGTTGTGGACGCCGCGGATGCTGTGGATCTTGTGGACGCTGTGGATGTTGTGGATGCTGTGGATGCTATGAATGTTGTGGACGCTGTGGACGCCATGGATGCTATGGACGTTGTGGACACTGTGGATGTTGTGGATGCTGTGGATGTTGTGGACACTGCAGACACTGCGGCCGCTGTGGACAGCGAACCCGTCTTCCTGAAGGAGACAGCCCAGGAGCCTGATGAAGGATGCGAGATGATGAGGACCCCCGGGGTCTGCTGGGCACAGGACCGAGCCGGGGGGGTCTTCAAGGACTTGCCCATGGTTGTAGATGGGGGGGGAGGTGGGATGACAGAGTTGCGTTCGTGTCCCTTAAGTCGCTGCTCTGCCTGTGCGTCCCTTAAAGTCCTTCCCTTCGTGTGTGTGCCTTTGGGTGACCACGGCGCCTGCAGAGCCTGTCAATCTGGACCAAATCGACGCCCGATGGGACCCCACATCGAATCAGCAAACTTTTGCACCCAGCGGAACAGGTGAACAGCCCAGCACTGTGGGCAGCGTGGAGTAGGCATCAAGCGAGAGGAATACTCTCCCGAGGGCAGGAGAAAGCACCTGGACGCCCTGTCACGAGCCCAGCTTCTTCCCAGGAGCACTGCGGCTGTGGACGCCCTTCATCCGGACGGAAGGCCATGCTCACTTTCTCAAATGGACTTGGAATAACAGCGCCCCGGGAATTCGGGAGAGGGATTCCGGAGCGTGGCTGAACCGGCTTGGGCCGAGGGCGGAGCTCCTGGTCGGGGGGGACGAGGAGGCTGGGGGACCCCCCCCAGCGGAGTGAGGGGTGACCCAGGGGCAGCTACAGAGGTGGACTTGGGGGGAGCAGGAGGGATGTCAAAAGACGTCGGCGAGGTGGAGAGAGGGGGGGACCACGCGGGTATTTCTAGGGTTTCGGGAGAGGAAGTGAGGTCGGGGGTGATCGCTAATTACCGGCGGCTGGGCCCGATTGGACTTGGCTTCTGTCATCCCTCCCGGACCCTCGTCACCGACTCCCTGAAGCTGCCAGCTTGTGAGCAGCCTGCCCCCCCCCTGCGGCACAGATCAGCCCACAGCGCTGTGAATGTGGGACTCAACGCTCCGAAGTTAATCCGCTTATCTGGAAGACGTCCGTCTCCCATCTTGCTCCGAGCTTTGCTCCCAGGGGGGCCCGGAACAATATCCACCACGACGACGGGGACGACAGCGGTAGCCGAGGATCACCGATCCCTCTGGGCGCCCGATAAGGCATCTCGAGAACGGAATTTCATTAGAAGGAGAGGCGCCGTGGGATAATCCCTCTGAGGCGCGAAGGAAAAGGCCTCGTTCCGGCGGCTTCCAGAGCCCCCCCTCTGCCTGTCGGAGAAGTGGGACGCCCCCCCCGGTTTTGTCTTGAGAGGTAGCTGCGGAAGAGAGGGCCACTGCTGGGTCGGCCTGTCCCAGCCACCCGCCACTCTTTGTGTAAAGACGCCGCTCCTGCCCTCGTTCCTCCACAGGTTCCGCTTGTGTGGTCCTATGGGGGAAACCCGGTTAATACCTACGGGACCCCCCCCGCTGCCTCCTGTGTTCGCTCCTTCACGGGGGTACGCCAACCCCGGGCGGCGCTCGATCTGCGGATGAGATCCGGTCGGGAGAAACGCCGTGTCCCGATTCTGTCACCGTCTTTCCGCCGCGCTGCCGCAGCAAAAGCAGAAGGTCTTCGACGAAAACAGGATGTCGTTGCATTTCCCACGGTGTCTTCTGGGACGCCTTGGCTCGCGTCGAAAAGATGACATCGCCATCGGATCTGTTCGGGTTCAGGCTCGTCTCCGAGAGGCTCCTGGTTCTCTGTTCCGCCTGGCTGCTCCTCGGTCTCCCCGATCTCCTTCCTTCGGATTCCACAGCCCACCCCGGTCGGTGTCTCCGCAGCAGCAGGTCTCCTCCCTGCAAGTCGCTCTTGATATGAGCGACTAATTTCTGGCCCTCCTCCTCCACTGTCTGTTCGTCTGGAACCCGGGCTACTGATTTCCACTGCTCCAGACGGCGTGCCATAGCAGCACTGCAAATGGCAAAAGGGCGGGATCAGAACGGTGATGGCATCCAGTTTAGTTCTCAACCGGCGCGTGTGGCGCGTTGGAAACAGATGGAACGTGCCTGGATCCCGTTCGGATGGCACTGAGCGGAACGTCGCTGGCAGCACGAGAGAATCCACCGGTCCCCTCTCTCCCGATCCAGGTAACCGGAAAGATTCCCAGTGCGTCCCAGGGCTGGATCCATCCCAGGTTTTGGCGGCGGCGGGGAAGGGGGGCTGGGGTAGGCGAGCCAGCACCAGGTGTGGGTGGTTTTGTGCTGGCCGCCTCGGTTCGAGGCGGTGTGCCCTGTTATTAAAACCAGATTATTTTTTTTTTCAAACTGCTTGCCTCTGCTGCCGGGACAGATCGGGCCGCGAAACGGATCCGCCGGCTGTGAGCCAGGGCTCTGATCTGGCAGCTTCTCGTGACAGTAAGGGCTTCAGACCTGTGGCTGGAGCTTACAAAGAATCCTTTCGCTTCATTCCCAGGAAAGCTCTTTCTTCCTGATCTTTCTGATCCGATCCGTCCTTTTCACAGCCCCGCAAGCTCAGACTCTACTCTGATGGCTGCCTCTTCGGATTCACTTTAAGAGCCCCCACCCCCACCCCCAAGCGCACGTGCAAACACACTCACAGACACACATACACACACATGCACGCACAGACAAAAACAGGAATAACTCCCAGCTCTCTCTCTCTCAGACTGATCAGTCAGGAATCACTCCCAGCTCTCT